ATATATGTTATAATTATTCTTCTAAAAATTAAGAAAGTGAATTAAAAAAAAAAAATGGATGGATGCTGACGAGTTGTTTTGGTGTGAGTGGTGGGTGGAGGAGGAGGAGGAGGAGGAGGAGGAGGAGGAGAGAGAGAAGAGGAAGAGGAGGAGGAATGGGACGGAGGAAGAGGAAGAGGAAGAAGAAAAAGATGTGGCTGTGGTGGTGGAGAAAGAAGGGGAAGGGAAAGAAACTTAATAATAGAAGAGGAAAAGGAGGAGGAAGATGAGTGGTTTTGGAAGTAGAGGAGAGAAGGAAGAAGAGAATGATGAAGAAACAAGAAGCGGGGAGAGGACAAGAACACGGAAGAAACAGGAGGTGAAAGAAAAGAGGACGAAAGAGAGGAGAAAGAAAGAGGATGGGGCGGAGACGGGTAAGAGGGGGAGGGTGGGGGGGAGGTAGAGGAGAGGAAGGAAGGTAGAGTAGATGGTAGATGAATATGGCGGATGAGCATGACGTTTTATAAATATGGATACATTTCAAAGATTGACTTAAAGGACTACTCATCACGTCCACAACGAATGCGAGAGATAATGAAATGATAAAAGAATAATGAAATCTAAAATCAGTGAGATGGAGATCCACTTTTTCTTTTTCTTTCTTATTCTTCTTACACAACCTTTTGTTTTATTATCATTTTGACTGCTTTGGTCCCGTTCGACTCCCACGAATGCAAGCACAGGGACTCCAAGAAGGCAAGCCAAGATCTTTCTCCCACAAAACCTTCCATAGATGAGCCTTTGTTTACATTATTTTTTATTTGATTTTTGTGTGTTTTTTTGTTATTTTTTAGTTTGCTTATTATCGTCGTCTTCTTGTTCCATTTACCCGTCTTTCAACTTGCAACACACGTTCAGCAGAATATCGTTATATGGGCAACATTTCGTTTGTTTTATGGTGGCGGATCAACGCACGTACCCCCAGTTGAAATCAGTTTATTCCCGAAAAAAGTGATAGAGAAAATATATGACTTCAGAACGTAAATAAATAGAAAATGGAAATCAAACCAAAAAGAAGAAAAAAAATCTAAGTAAAATAAATTATATACATATAAAAGAGAGAGAGAAAATTTACGAAGTATTTATTGAGCATAAGATGTGGATACTTTGTGATATGGACTGGTTTCAGGTTGTTATCTATTCATACTTTTTTTCTCGCGTGTTTTCTTAATTTTTTTCTTTCTTATATTTTTGCCCATACAACTATTCCTTCCGGAGAGCGACCATCTGGTAAGGGGGGTGGGGTTTGAGGGACCATCTCTGTAAGCGGACCATCTGCGAACATGGAACCATCTTTGCATGAGGAAGGGGGAAAAGACTCCAAACGGGTACACTGGCTGAACGCTTCTGTCCCTCAGGGGCGTGTATTGGACGTCAAAGGGAACGATCAGTGGGTGGACCTCGAAGACCCTTCCTCATAGCTAGAATGATCATTTGAAGGACCAGTTGCATCAAGGAGGACTTGATCATTGATTAAAAAAAAAGGAAAATAAACAAAGATGGCTCAACTATATACGAAAGGGAGCCCTCTCTCCTTGGGGGGAAACCATCTCTATTGTCGAACCATCTTTTGGACAGAACCATCTACATAGCTGGTCCATCTGTGTACAGAGATCACTTCGGAAGATACCATTGCTGCTGATCACTTCTGATTATCCTTTGTAACCTGTGTGGTATACTAGTAGTACTCAATAACACCTAGTTTAGTTTCGCCTCCCGCTACAATCTAGCATATATTATATATACTGGGTTTTTCCTAGTGGGAAACATCAATTTTGTATCGAAACTCTTATTTTATACAATACCAGAGTAGGAGAAGCAACTGGAAACGGTAGATCAGGTTCAAACAGCTAGACTCTCCTGTGTGGTTTTAGTTTTGGTTAGCGAGGGGGGGGACTGGCGCCTGACATGGTTGTTGGGGACTCGGGGGGTTGGGGGTCAAGGTAGCTTGTCAAGTGATGGATGACATGACAGATGACAGAAAACGGCTACTCATCTGGTTCTTGGAATGATTGTAGTCTTCGCTGTTGACGTATTGTCGCTAGGTGGCAACGTAGCTTTGGGAACTCTTTTTTTATGACTTTTTTTTTTCTTTTTTCTTTACGTTACTGCTAATGCATAAAGCTTACACCAATAGGAGACTGCCACGTCACTGCTTCACCCGGCTCCCGAAGCCCCTATGTGGTACTGGCACTGGTAGGCTGTTTCCCGGCTTGAACACCGATAATACACAGAATACACTTTACACTATGGCGCCTTCGCTGACGTCATCCTGGCTTATACATGTAGTCACTGGTATATTCAAAACACTTGCCAATATTTTTTTTTCTTTTTTGGAGATGCACTGTACATACGGAGCACATACACGTAGACTATGTAAAATAGCACTTAATTATCCAGTATAAAATGGGTCACACACTCTGCACTGGCACTTTTGCACACCCTAGGTCAATATTTGGCAACCGACCCGCAGCTCGGAGGTCACTGGGTGGGGGAGGTGGGGGTGGGGGTCTCTGAGAGGGAGTTGCCGTTCTCCACTCCTTTGGTTTTGTTCTCCTTCTTCCACTTCATCCGGCGGTTCTGGAACCAGATTTTGATCTGTCGTTCGGTGAGGCAGAGGGCGTGGGCGATCTCTATCCTTCGTCGTCGCGTCAGGTACCGGTTGAAGTGGAACTCCTTCTCCAGCTCGAGGGTCTGGTACCGCGTGTAGGTCTGTCGTCCACGCTTCCTCTCTGCAGCAAGGGGGGGAATTGGACTGTTAAATTCTTGTACTCCGCAAAACAGTAAATAGCTCAAGGCGGGCTATTCTTGAGCTTTGTAAATCCGTAAAAAAAGGTCAAATATGACTATTTTTTAACAACGATCACTAAATCACATTAGATAGGCCTGTTATATGCTTCAACATTGTCATTTAAAAAAGTACATCAAATGAAACTTGAATTATTGAAACTGATATAGTAAAACAAATCAAACCATACTGGTTGATGTATGACGGGAAGCTAAATTGTTTCCCATTAATTTAGATAAGATAATGATAACTACTTATTCTTAATCTTAATACTATGGGATTAAAGCTCAAGACAATTAAAGGAGAACCGGTGTCCATGAATGCTCGTCACTTGTGGAATTTGTACACAGAATCACACACATAAAAACATATACTCGCTTCTCTCTTCATTCCTCATCTCTCGTACTAAATCTGCAGTAAAGATACAAGACAACCCCCAAAAAAAAGGAAAAGAGAGAGAAAGAGAAAGATAAAGAGTGAGAAAGAGAGAGAGCAGAGTTAGAGACAGAGAAATAAAATAAAATAAAATGGTTGAAGTTATATACACACAACCCATATTTATCTGCTTAAATATGACACACGCCTCATATTAACGAACATAAATACGTGAGTGTAAAGTGAGTAGCAATAGACAAGGAGAATAAAAAAACATGGATACACATCACCCTTTTTTCCTCTCCTCTTTAAATCCCCAAAGAGTTCATGAGCCCTTTAACCCTCTCGAGTAACAGCTACCACTTGACATGTCCGTCTGTCAAGGAAATGTCACTTGAGCCCCACGTCGAGAGCGAGTGTACAGGGAGAGGCGGCGAATGCGCTTAAAGGTGACAGTCCCTTTTTAATGCAACGAAATACGGCTTTTTTCAATTCTATTTACAATCATGTTCGCACACACGCAAATGCACACATACACAGATATGGAAAGACAGATAGATAGATTAATAGACAGGTAGACAGAAAAATAGATAGGCAGATAGATAGACATACAGACAGACTGATAGATAGATACATATTTTCATACAGAGTGGGATAGGTGGAGAGACTGAATAGTATATATATAATATATATATATATATATAATATATATATATATATATATATATATATATATATATATATATATATATATATATATATAATTATATATATATAGTATACTATACCATACGTAAAACCGCAGACACACAAACACGCACAGCAATTCATTACATCAGAAACGCAAATCATGTTAAAACGTTGACTCATAAGAAAAGTAGATGGAGATTAGACATGTGCGATGCAATGCACGCGGTGACGTAAGGTTGGCGTCAAGACAAACGCAGAGATACAGCCAATGTTAATCGGAGGCAGACGTCCGGCTCTAGCTCACTATGGTCTGCGCAAGCTGAGTGTTCCATCAGTCGACTAGATTCGGCGTGGCGTGTCTCTCGGGTCGTCGTCGTAGCTCGATTGCTTTTGCTTCTCGGTGTCATGGCTGTGGTTGATGGCTGTGTGGTTGATATCGATGTGGTTGTCTAGTTTTCTCTATCTCTCTCCCTCTCTCTCTTTCTTCTCTCTTTTGTCTTTTCGTGTTTCTTTTGTTCTTTGTTTTTGTTGTATTGTTTCGTTTCTTCTTTCTCTTTCTTTTTCTAGCATTTTTTTGTTATTTTCTCTTTATTCTTGTTATTGTGCTTCGTTTCGTTGCTCGCTCGATGCAGTTGTAGGAGTTGAACAGTCTGGTCACTCGCTGCATGCACGGAATAGTTGTGTGTCTGCAGTGTCTGTGTGCTTAGTGCTTCGTCGATTGCTGTCAGACTTGTGTCATCTTCTCGTAAGTCGCTTCTCGTAGGTTCTCGTCCGATTTGGTGTGGATCCGCCTTCTCATAGTTCCGCTCCGTTCCGCTTCGTCGGTCGTCTCTTCTTGTGGTCTCTCCCTCCCTCCCTCGACCCTCTCTCTCTTGCTTCTTCGGTCGTCTTCTCTCTTCGTCGTCTGCTCTGTCTCTCTCGTCTCTCTTCGCAATCAGGTCTCATGTATCGCCTTCCGTCGTTGGATAGATGAGAGAGCAGAGATGTATGAGAGTGTTAACATTCAGTATGATATATTTTTTTCTCTGGGCAGTGCGGTCGGTGGTGAGAAGTTAAAACTCTCCTTTAAAAGCGTGATAATGATTCTAAGTTTCTTATGATGTAAGTGGATAAGATCGAGGAAGGATGGAAGGATGAAGGAGAGGTATGGAGGAAGAAAGAAGGGTGCGAAGGGAATGGAAGGGATGGATGGAAGGAATGAAAGTGGTGAGGGTGGTATAGGGAAGTGTATTATGTATTGTGTTATGGGATGGAGAGTTATGGTAGTGGGTGGAAGAGTTGATAGTAATTGGAGAAGAGTGTGAGAAGGGAGAGGAGGAAGGATTGGAGGAGAGATCAGAAGGAGTGGAAGTGGAGAGAAGGATGATTTGGTAATTTATAGTCATATATAGTTATATGTGATTGTATATGTTATTATTGTAAGGATTATTGGTATAATTATGTTTATGTGTGTTCTTATTGTATTGTTTATTATATTTGTGATTGGTAATGAAGGTATTATTGAATTTATAGTATTGTATATGTATTATTGTTATATTTATTTGTAAGAAGGAAGGATTGAAGGGAAATGAGGTATGGATGCGAAGGGTATATAAGGTATGGATTGGATTGGAAGAAGGAATGGATGGAAGGAAATGTTATAGGTGTATGATTTTATATGGATATTAATAATTTGTTATAGGCATTAGATTTTTATTGTTATTGTATGGTATAATGTTATTTATATTATATGTATTTTGTGTGTGGAATTTATGATATATAGTAGTGTTTATGTATAATTGGTTTAATATATTTATGGTATATTATATACGGAAGTTATATTGTATATTATTATAATTTATAATAATGTATTTTATTATTGTATATTTTAATATGTATTGATTATGAAGTATATATTAGTTGATTTATTGTGTATATATGAAGGAAGAGAAGTATGAAACAAATGAGAGGAAAAGAAAAAGAAAAGATGGGAAGCAATGGAAGACAGTAGTAAAGAGAAAGAAAGTGAACAAAGGGCAATGAGAAAGACAAAAGAACGAGAGAGAAAGAAATGAAAGCAAACATGAAGGTAATGAGATAGAGAAGGTGAGGGCAAAGGATGAGAAGGTGAAACGATGAGACGAGAAAGAGAAAATAAAGGAAGAAACTGAAGTTTTTAAAGTGAAGAGAGAGGAACGGGAAGCCCAAAACAGGCATTGGATAGGCAAGAAAGGAGAAATAGAAGAAAAAGAATAAAAAATCAAAACCAAAAGAAAACGAACTCAACCCCAAGAAGAACAGAAAGAAAAAAAATCAAGAAAAGAAAAATACGAAAAAAAGACAAAAGACCCAAAAATTCCAAGAGGTTTCCATCATCTCCAGAAAATCAGGCCAAAACCGCCGCCAGCCGTTGCCACCCCACCAGAACCTCACCGTAAGAGGGGGTTTGCGGTCGGAGGAAACCCCAGAAGACCTCATACCGAAGGCAGAAGGAGAAAAGAAAAGGATATTTATCATTGTCTGGGTTTCGCCGAGGGAGTTTTCTATGTTGGGGGGGATAGGGGGGGGGAGGGGAAGAGTTGAGGTAGGGTGTATGTTGGGGAGGAGGAGGGTGTGGTGGGGAGGGGAGCTAAGGCGGAGGGTGTGTTTGGGAGGAGAGGGGAATGGTATGGGGGAGAGGCGTATGTTGGGAGGAGAAGAGGTGTGGGGAGGAGAACGGTATGTTGGAGAAGAAGGGTATGTTGGGGAAGAAGAAAGGGTAGGTATGTTAGAAGGAAAATAGTATGTTGGAGAGAAAGGGTATGCTGAAAGAGAGGGTATGTCGGGGAGGAGAATAAATATATTGGGGAGGAGAATGGAAGCATAATATGTTGGGGAAGAGAGTATTATGTTGTGTGGTAGAAATCCTCATACTCATAAGTTCAGTAAAGAATGTATATATGCATCAGAATGTATGAAACAATGTATGACGTGAACCGGAGAGTAGAGGAGAGAGGAAGGGAGGAAGGGGGGGGCAGGGGGCTAGTGGTTTAGTCACACGACGGGGGTGGGGTAAGAGGGAGGGGTGGGGTGGGGGAGGGGACCCCGAATAGGCCTAGTATGTTTATATGATGAAGACTCGATCTCGATAACGAACATTCCTCAGATGTGTCGACTCCCCCCTACCCCCCTTACCCCCACAACCCCCCCGCATACCTCTATCATGTTGTCTAGACGGGAATGGATTCTTCATATACCTCTCTTACCCCTGCCCCCCTCCCCCCTCCTCCATTTTCCGTTTTTTCTTTCTCTGTCTTGTTTAGCTGTTTCTTTGTCTTTTTCTTATTATTTTTCTTTCTTTGTCTCTCGTCTCTCTCTCTCGTTCTCTTTCTTTCTCTCTACTCTCCCTTTCTCTCTCTCTCTTCTCTCATCTCTCTCTCTCTCTCTCTCCTCTCTCTCTCTCTCTCTCTCTCCATCTCTTCTCTCTATCTCTCTCTCTATCTATCCATCTCTCTCTTTCATTCTCTCTCTAACCCTCTATCTATCTATCTCTATCTATCTATTTATCTACCTATCTATCATAATACTATTTTAATTCATAACAAATCAATTCCAACATTTCATTCCTCCCCGACATAATGCACGGAATCCATACCAATCATACACCTCCATACAGCAAATACATCAACATCAGTTCACAAACCCACATCAATAAGAGATACAAACAGCGATCAAATATTATGACAGATCTATTTCACACTCGGAGCACAACAGTCAGGCGGAGGAAGGTTTCTAATTTGTACATTTACGGATGTCTCTGTGCAGGTGATATCTCATTTTTTATGTAATTACATACATATATGGATATACATATACACGTGTGGTTTTATATTCATATATTCACACATGCAAGTCTGTGTGTGTTCACGTACAAACACACAGACATACACAATCATACGCATATGTGTGTATATACATACACGCAATACATACATACATATACATACATATATATATATATATATATATATATATAATATATATATATATATATATATATATATATATATATATATATATACATATATATATATATATATATATATATATATATATATATATATAGTATATATATATATATATATATATATATATATATATATATATATATATATATATATATATGTATATATATATATATATATATATATATGTGTGTGTGTGTGTGTGTGTGTGTGTGTGTGTGTGTGTGTGTGTGTGTGTGTGTGTGTGTGTGTGTGTGTGTGTGTGTGTGTGTGTATGCATATATCCAGATAGACAGATAGACATATGCATCGCCCGTTCAATACCGGAGGCGCGGCGCCCTTCCCCCCCCCCCCCCCTCCCCTCCCCCGCCGCAGCACCTGTGTGAGGCAGAGGCGCCGCCCGCAGCCTATTCATCCCCTTCCGTCGCGCGGCTCCTGCACTCGACCGCGTCTGACGTTGCAACTCCGCATATATGGAGGAAGAGATCCATCGGCCAAGTACAGATGGGAGGCGAGGTCTGGCGGCGAGGAATTTCTCCCGAGAATTTTCCTTTCGATTCTTCGTTTCGAGAAAATGGATCTCGATAGTTGGGGTCCTGGCAGTGGGGAGGAAAATGGAGGATGGGGAGGAGGGGAGGAGGGGGAGGAAAGAGGAAGAGAGAGAGGGGGGGGGATTTCGAAAATGCAATTCAAGGGGGGTGGGGGTAGAAGAGTAGGGAAGGGTGGGAATGATTAGGATATTGACTTTTGGGTTTAATGGAGGAACGGGATGTTCTAGTTAAGGTAGTTTAGGGAGTATTCTTCGGAAATAAAAGATTTAGGTATGAAATAAGATTTCTTTCCTCGATTCATTCCGAATTTGCCGTAAAATAGACGAAAAATATACCGGAAGTGATTCGTCACATGAACTCACTCGAATTACGTGAAAGAAACTAGAAAAGAAAGAATGAAAAATAGTATTTTAGTAAGACATAAGCACACGCAATTCCCACACACTCCTGCCAACAAGGATTTGATAAGGGGGAGGGGAGGAGGGGGAGGAGCCATGGAAGGGGTGGGGGGTGAGAGGGGGGCGAAAGCGTGGATGTTGGGGGTGAAGGGGATGGGGAAGAGGGAGGGGAAGGGAGGAATGGAATGCAAGGAAGGTAGGGATTAGGGAGACGAGGGAAGGGAAGGGGGGGGAGAGCATCGAAGGCAGAGATGATGGGGAATGCGGAGAGGAGGGAGGGGGGGACGGAAAGGAGGGGGGGGGTGCATGGAAGGTAGGGTATAGAGGGAACGGAGAGAGTAGGGGGGGGAGAGGGGGGGGAGCACCGAGAAGCTGCAGCAGGGGCTCCCAAGACCCTCCAACCGGTAGACATTATCTGGGAGTATCTCTTAAATAAATAATATGATCAAGAAAGGGAAGTATGTTTTCTTTTTTTTTCTTTCTTTCTTTTCTTTTTCTTTTTTTTTCCGTCCGACTCCCCACTTTTTCAAACAGATGAAGCCCATTAGTTGATGCCGAGGCTGCCATTTGTAACCGTCTTCAATCGGCGATTTTAGGAGTGGTGCCATCCGTCATCTGCGCGTTTGATTGGCACCACAAAGAAATCCATTACAAGAGAACTGTAAGGAAAGGGGGAGGGGGAGGAGGAGGAGGAGGAAGAAGAAGAGAACGGAGGAGAACGGGTGGGGGGGGAGAGGGAGGAGGGGGGGGACCCATCCAGCTTTTATTAACATGAAAATGTTCACAAGATCTTTTTCCCTGAGCGCCGAAGAGAGAGAGAGAGAGAGAGAGAGAGAGAGAGCGAGAGAGAGAGGCGCTGCCAGAGGT